CCCCAAAACCCCAAAACCCCAAAACCCCAAAACCCCAAAACCCCTGCTTTTTAAACTTGTTGAATTAGTTGTTATAATTTCTTATTAAGAAATTGTTTGCTAATTTTATCTAATCTTATCGCTCTGGAATTTAGTACTTGCCTTTCTTGAATCTCCTGACTGTAATGCCACCTTTGTGGATTCAGGTCTTAATTTGATGAAATTTATCAGCAGCCTTCTCATAATCCTTGTAATGACCCACACCAGGAATTTTCTTCTTATTATGGACTAAAGAATCTAAATGAGTTAGGACTCCTTTTATCTCCTTTATAGGGACTCCTGGAGGAGGTTTCCATTGGGTTTTCTCTATTGAACTTTGGGTATCATAAGAGCCGGGTCCTGGCTTTCCGTCTTTTGTAATCTTGCTCATTCTGCTGTATTTTCCGGCATCCTAGAGGGTCAGGATTGAGCTTACCTTCTGAAATTTGGTAATATGAGTTCTCCTCATCGTTAAGCTATGATTTAGTTTATATTTTGTCGGAGCTGGCACTATCTTTTTGTCTTCAATTATTGAGTCAAATACTGAGTTTTTATCAATTGTTCTAAGTGTGAAGTAAAGAATTACGATTTATAATTTCCCTTTATTTTAAAGTTTTTTTGGGTCTTATATTGATTGCAAGCAGGGGTTTTGTTAGCTTTGTCGATAAAGTATTGACTCATTGTGACCCTTTTCTGTCTTCTGAACTGGCCCATCCATTGACTGTTCCACTGGCGAATCTTGCTGTACTTGGTACAGCACGGAACGTATTTCAAACTGCTTGCATGTTTGTCAAGGTACCTCCCAGCTTGAGACTTTGGGATTCCATGTTGAGGGGTCTTTTTCCACAGATAGTCATTATTCGGTGGTTTATAGAACGGGAGACCAAAGCTATGGACTCCTTTCCTCATAGCAACTGCGTCAACACTCTTGTTAAAATCACATGATCTGTTAGAACTTTTCTCAAGACTCTTGTTCCTATTTATTGGATGAGGTTTGACTCTGATGAACCTGTTGGTACGACTATTTCTTCTATATAATTTCTAGTAAATTTACCCTTGTGAAGCTGTTCTTCATGTGCTCGAAAAGTTACTGAAGGGGAGCCTCTCAGTGGACCTTGACTTTTTGTCTTCCATAATTATTAAGTTTTGATAATTTTATTAGGATTTAGTCAATTGTGATAATTTCTAAAGGGGTTTTGGGGTTTTGGGGTTTTGGGGTTTTGGGGTTTTGGGGTTTTGGGG